TATTGGTATCCATACAAAGATTACTTGATTTTTTCTAACTTATAAAGTTATAAGTGAGTGAAAAATAATAATGATGGTATTATAGTTTTCATATATCTAAGCGGATCCTAACTTCACCTGCGTCGCTACGGAGAACAGAATTTTAGGTGTAGTCGGATGCGGGGGAGAGCAGTGGACACCGTGCCGTTCTAGGACCGTCAAGATATTTGAATAACGTAATACAAATTGTAAAGCGTTACTCACTATCGAAGCAGTTTGACGCCAATGTACGAGGAAAACAGATTTACCCATATAAGGCAAAATAACTTCATAATTTGTATGAATTATAGTTGACTACATAATCTAGGATGACTCAACTCTGATAACTTGTTATGTGTTACAAAACTCATTAAACATACTCTCTGATAGCTTAGTATTTAATTATGTCGTCTGCTTTTGTAACTTTGATTCGATTTAATAAATGTATTTTATTTGTAACTATTTGTTGCTAGCGACTTCGTCCCCGTGAAATTAAAAGAAACAATAAGTTATATATTACATTACTGATAACATAGCTAATGATAGAAGAATTTTTAAAATCGGCCCATTAGTTTTTGAGTTATTTCAATACATACAAAAATACAAATCTTTTCTCTTTATAATATTCATCATCACCAGCTCACTATACGTCCCCACCGAGGGGCTTGGGCCTACCCTAAATTAGGGTGACTAGGCCATAGTCAACCACGCTGGCCCAATGCGGGTTGGTTGACTTCACACTTATCTTTGAATTTCTTCGCCGATATGTGCAGGTTGCATCACGATGTTTTCCTTCACCGTAAGCACGTCGGGTAAATTATGTACATATGAAAAATCGAAAATCACATTGGTACATGTCGGGATTCAAACCCAAGACCTGTAGATTTACAAGTCAAGTGCTTAAATCATTGAGCCACCGACGCTCTTTATTTATAATATTAGTACGAGTAGATAATTATTACGTTTTTATCCGTGACTTGACCTTGATATGAATAACAGTACTGAATTAGCTATGTTACCCATTTAATGGGTTTTTACAATTGCTATCTACTGTAACATGTATGTTAAGGAATGTCCAACATGTGTTCTCATGTAATGTTATAGTTAAGCTAGCGTTTATTTTATATGAATGTAAAGAGATGAAACTAGAGAAAATTTTTGCATTAAAATAATCTTAGTATACTTGAAAGGAAAATAGCAAGCCAGTTAACCTGTACCCCATTGCCTCAGAGATCAGGTGTGGGCTGGCGGAAGCCGTGGGCGACTGTTGCCCACGGTCTTACGTCATGTCACCAGCTGTGTAGGATACTATTTGTTTACTATAATAGATTATATAAACATTTAAATGATCTTGTTAATATGGTATTTTAATTCCCTTTTTACTGAAAATTTCGTCGTCTATACATTACTAGAAAAAACTTTCTCCGATTCCATAATATTGTCATTGATGAAGATGTTTTTAGATTATGTAACGCCATATTTTTAAATATTAAAAGCTACAAGGGGGAAAAGGCATGAATTGATCTCAATTCCGATCTCAGTACTAATCATACTAATATTATAAATGCATAAGTATATATGGATCTGAATGTTGGGCAGTAAAAGGGACGGATGAAAGGAGAATACATGTAGCAGAAATGCGAATGTTAAGATGGATGTGTGGGGTAATACGATTGGATAAGATACGAAATGAGTATATTAGGGGAAGTTTGAGAGTAGTCCCAGTGGTCGAGAAAATAAGGAGTAAAAGGTTAGAGTGGTATGGGCATGTTATGAGAAGGGATGAATCGCATGTAACAAGAAGGACGTTAGTTATGAATGTGGAGGGGTACATCGGTAAAGGTAGACCTAGAAAGAGATGGATGGATTGCGTGAAAGGTGACATGATCAAGAAGGGAGTGATGACTGAGATGACGGATGATAGAATGCTTTGGAGGACGAAAACCCGGTGCGCCGACCGTACGGGAGTAGGATAAGGCAGGGAAGATGATGATGAATGTTTGTTAGTGTTTAAAGCCTAAACTGCTGAACGGATCATGCCACAAGAGTTATTCAATGCCTCTAATTATTGTAATATCTTACTGTAACAAAATCATAAAATTTCAACACCAAGTTTTCTGGTGTTTAGTGGAAGGTAATCATGGCGCAGTTGTGCTAACAAGCAAGTGTACCAACACTACATTCCGATTTAAAAGCCTGCGTAATGTAATGAAATCACTATGCAAATGTCACATACCTTCTAATGTGTCAAAATGCTGAGCGTAAATATAGACCGGTGTAGAATTTTCTAAGTGGAACAGAATTAACACACGCATCAAGGATTTTCGCATTCAATAATTCTACAAAAGAAAATCTTAGAAGCGGTAGTCCTGTAAATATGGAGAAAGTCGTAATTACCTACTTAAATATTGACTGATGTAAGTCGAAGTGCTGTCGTCGCATCGCCAGACCACTCAATACAAATTAACGAAGACTAAACAAAATAAACAGAATGGACGCACCAGTATTTGCCCCCGTTTGTTTTACGACACTAGTGTGATTTATTTACTTTGCACAGATAACAGTACTGTTTAATTACTTTGTCTGTTTCATATTTACTCTGTGCAAGAGTGCGGGATAGCTTCGCGTTTGCGTCGAGCGTAATGGATACTAGTAACTATGGATATCAACAAGGAAAATTTAGACCAGTGGTATCCATTGCGTTTTAACGGATATTTAGAATGCAAACCTGCCGGCTAATCTCAACAATGTCGACCCAATTAAATTAGCCAAACTTCCTGTTATGCGAACTTAATCGGTCGATGTGCTGTGTTCCATTATTAGCGGTTATTGAGTTGATTTAAACAATATCAAGACAACTTTTGTATATAGAGTATAATACGAATAAAAAAATGTTGTTTTTCATTTGCTTAATCGTATTTTATAGTGCATTTTATTTAGATTAACTTGTCTGTTATATGTGTGCCGTATGTCTTGTCTTAAATTTTTTAATGTTGATGTCCACTAACTACATAATACAAGGTATATCTTATATACTCGCTTACATTAGTCATGTTTCCTACTTTATAACCTATCAGTGAGTACTCGAGTAACGATATAGATGTCATCGGCTCGTCCGTGGCGACGCTGGACGAGTACACAAGATTATTTCCGTCTTGTCCCACATAGCCGTCAGACGTCGATAAAGCTGAGAATAACTACCCAATTAGTAGGAAAATCTTACGAAACAATAACGTCGTAAAAATGTATTTAAAATTGTACCATTTTAAAGTAATGAAAAATGCATTAACGGTCTGGTAACGAAAATGATTTGAAGTCTTTGAATTTATATGGACAAATTTTATTATGTATCGTATTAAATAATTGTTTTTTTCTTTTGTTAAACTTCAATCTATTTATTATGATATCTACAATCTTTTAAATCTTTAAAACTTCTGAACTAACTTCTTTTTAAATTTGTTTTACGAAAAATTTATAGTTATATTTTTATTTAGAAACAATAAATTAAACTGATACTCGAATGATATACGACGATACATTGTCGAGCTTTGAGACCATTTTTAGTTAATGTCAGAATTATGTAGTAGGCTTACACTGGCAATCAGTTTGTAGACAGCCATATGCAGAATACTAAATCAAGGTACGAATAAAGCTACCAACTATTGGCGCGCCTTTAAAGGACTACAACCAAGTAAGGTATAACACGAGACACTACTGGAATAATTATCAAGGCAACAATTACGATTATATAAAACCTCGTTAAAATCATTGCATATAATTGTAAGTTTCGCGTCCTGCCAATGTCCTCAAATGTGACCTTTTAAATTGCATTTTTGTCATAATTTGAACTTTATTTGTACTGATATATTGTTCAAAGTTGTAGTGTCTTTACAGATAAAACTTCATTAGAACGTTTATTTCGTTTTATCATTCTTTGAATTATTATTATTTTATAATATAAGGTGGCGAACGAGCAAGCAGCCACCTGAATCCACCGAAATGAAAGGCGACCGCTGCCCATAAACATCCGCAATTGCAGATGCGTTGCCTACCATTAATTGCCGGAGGAGACTCACATAAAGAGGACATTTCCCCTTCCTATGCGTCTCCTCAATCGTCAAATCCACTTTTTCTTCCCATCCTTTCCTCTTATGAAAGGGTGGAAAGGGAAAGGGACTAAAATTAGGCCTCCGGCACTACACTTGTCAGACGAAACGCGGAATTGCTTCCACTTCACGCCGATTTTCTGTGTGGTCGTGGTATTTCAACGAGCCGGCCAATTCGTGCGAAGATATTAAAGCAGGCTCTACCACTGTTACAATTAAAACTTACTAATTATATAGGCAATGTTGACTTTGATAGTAGATGCTTAGTCAAGTTAATGTATGTGTATGTTGAATTAGTCTTAAAATTTTAAACATAATATGCAACTTAATGCTACTCTAAGGTCTAGACTGTAAGACCCATGATTGCCGTATTCAAGCGATTCCAAAGAAATCCGAACATTGTTCAACGTTTAAAGTTTACATAATTTTTACAATTCTATGCAAATTAAATTCATGCAGAACCGGCTCGTGCCACTTACGTGATGTTTTTAGTATGATCGTATTAACATATCAATTATGTTGAGTGAATATAATTATCCTTTTATCTTAGAGTTTAATACTTTCGAAACAAGGTAAATTTCCTCGCAATTTATACTAAAGATAAATTGTGTCGACGTGTATTATTTTTAAACTGTTTCAAAAATTAAAATTGATACAGCAGAGAAAGGTTAGAAAAATAAAAGACATATTTTTTTTTGATGTAAACTATCTTTTTACATTGTGTAATGCAAATGAAACTAAATATAAACGAAATAATATATGTACACGAAAATTAAATAAAGGAGATATACTCAATGCTACTTTAAAATATCTATAAAAATGTAAATTTGTAAACTTAAAATAAATATAATCTTCATATATTTATTCCTTACACTTCGAATCTTTACCTTATCTGTTTCTTAAACATGTATATTATATAACCATAAATGTTTTCATTCATCAAATCTGAAACATAATTCTACATTGTCAATGTTCAGATCGTCCTTTACATCTTCTGAAAGCATCATCTCTTCCTCAACTGGAAATAAAAAAAAACATCTCATAATATTGACAAAAAAAAAACGAATTAATCACAGTCTTATCTGACTTTTTACTAATATTATGAATGCGTAAGTTGGGATTATTTGGATGTTACCACGTAATTCTGGAATTGAGCAAATTGATGAAAATTGGTATAAATGTAAAAATGGTCTGGAAGAATACATTGGCTACTAAATAAAGATTTTTATTATTTTTAATAACTCACCTTCTATATTCTCTTCAATAAATTGTGTCGGAACTTCAGTGATCGTTTCAGAGTCAGAACTATTGATGACTTCTATCACAAAATACGATTTTGTTTCTGTATCGTACAAAGTTATTTTTTTGTTATTATTTAGATTATCTGTATTCGCTGATTCCTCAGGTAGTTCAGCCTTTACCTGAAACATGCGTTACATATTATGACTAATGATTTTATCTTTTTATGAAGTCTCAAAAATGTGATACAATTTAAGAATACTTATTTAGATACGTTCATACAAATAAAACCAACCTTTGGCTCTTCACTGTCACATTGAACGTTTTTAATTCGTTCAGAAATCCCGATTTCTTCGGAAGCTATAGATTTTGGCTCGTGGAGAGTGAGATGGCGAGTCAGGTTGCCGAGGTAGGCGAAGGCGCGCCCACATCGCTGACAAGAATGAGTCTTCTCCTTTGATGGAGGAGGTACATATCCCGGTTTATGGTACAAATTTTCATGTCGTCGGAGCAACTGCTTCTGTCTGGAAAATAAAAAATCTTAGGTATTCGACTGTTCCAAATTTAGCTTTGTAAGCAAGAGGCACAAAATGACCTCACATTTTACGCAAAAATTTCTAAATGCCGAACCTTAAAAGTTCCTCTTAATATCAAACCACTGTTCACACAAAATTGCAATGTTGAAACACAAAACAATATAGTATTCTAGTAGTCTAGTCACGTTTATATGTTCAGAAAGTCAAGTTTTTCGTTTGAAACTGCTTACATAGTGGACCCAGTATGCAATGTCAGCGATACGAGAGAAGTGGGGGGGCTGCTAGTGAAGCTGGTCACTGGCATTAAGATGACCACGACCAAAGGCTGAAACGATGAAGAATGTGAGATAAGTAAGTGTACCTGAAGCGTTGGTCGCAGTGCGCGCAGCCAAACGGCTTAGCGGCCGTGTGCTGCAGCGCGTGCGACTTCAGGCGCGCCAACGTGCACGCCGCGAACGAGCACATTTCACACTTGAAGCACTTCTCGCCTTTATGCGTCTGCAAATATATAAAGCTATTTAAGATAAAATTGAACATTGTATACCCAATCTTTTTTTTATAATATAAACCTGAATCCGCCGAAATGGGGAAGTGACCGCTGCCCATGTACATTCGCTTACAGATGCGTTGCCTACCCTTCATTGATTGAGGAAGAGACATATAGGGGTTTTTTCCCTTTCTATGGGTTTCTCCACCATCTACTTAAGGGAAATGGACTCAAATTATATCCGGCATATACTTAGATAAAACGCGAAATTGCTTCGATTTGACGCCTGTCTTCTGTGAGGTCGTGTTATTTCACTTGCCTCCTGGCCCATTCATGCGAAGATGTTAAACCGGGCTTTACCACTGTTAAAATCTTTCGAACCCAGTCCATCAATCACCTACCTTATGATGAATTTTCCAGGTATAACGATCTGCAAACATTTCGCCACATATTTTACATTTAAATGGTTGTTCAGCTGCGGTGTGCAGCTTCTGTATGTGTAAGCGCAGGTCCGTCATGCGTCCGCACTTACTCGGGCAAATGTCACACGCGAACTCACGCCTGTCGCTTACTGCAAGCAAAGTGCTTTGTTACAAACAGACTTACATATAGTAGTAGTACAGATCAAAGAAGACCTGAGATGGGTAGACGGTGTAAATTGAAACGCAACATGTTGGTATAAATTGGAGTTCAATAGCTACAAATACATTGAGAGAAAATGTTTGACTAAGCCAAAGCCCACGAAGGGCTGTAGAGCCAAGGAAAAAGATAGGCTACAGTTTTAATGTCGAAAATTTTACTTGAAGAACAAACAACAAAAAAATGTTTTTTTACATGAGATTATAAACATTGTAATTGTATATTTTGTACCGTGTTTAATACAATCTCCGAAACGGCTGGGTTGATTTTGACGGGACTTTCACTAGAGGGTAGCTGACACTGACGGACATATAGGCTACTTTTTATTTTTAATTCCGCGCTGTCAAAATGAAGACCGATCGTTATCTCGCGAACGGGTGGACCGATTTTGACGAGGTTTGACTGGAAGGTAGCTGGTAGAAGGTAGGTGCACTCGGGTATGTTACGGCCATTATTTTAAATTCCGCAATAACGAAGTTTGCAGGCAACAGCTCGTAAGTGTATTAAATAATGAGCTTACTGTTATGTATTTGTTTGTGTGTCTTCAAAGAGTTACATTGTGTGAATTGCATATTGCAATATTCACACTTGTAAGGCTTTTCTCCGGTGTGTGTGCGCAGGTGACGCTTCAGCTTGAAAGTGTCCGCCGACGCGTACGTGCAGTGGGGACACTGTAACAAAATATATTTTACAGCTTTTACTTGTGACTGTGTTAATTTATAAATAAACTAGCTTTCGCTCGCGACGTCGCACATTGGGCTGTACCCAGTTGCTCCATAGACAACTTTATCTGATGTTTGAAATGTCTCTTTTTTTTGCTTGAATGTGCTTTGTATCAGTAAATGCATACCTTATAACGTAATATTTATCTTGTATCGATGTTTTTAGCGCAATTAGAACGTTTTCTCTAAAAATTTGTATGGAGTCGCCCTCAAAATTGGTGATAACTCAGCTATCGCACAATTGCGCCTTATTTCCTCAGAGATAACGTTTGTACAAC